AAAATTTTGAAAATTTTTAAAATAATTACTAAGATATATAGTAATGACGGTAGAGGGTTTTCCAATAGGGGAAATATCCTTAAACCGTTTCTAGTTTTGTCCAAAATTGAACTGAATGGTCAAAAATATAAACTTAATAAATTTTTTTAAAACATCAACCATGAAAAGTAACTTTTGGATTTGATATTTTATACATTTAAGCTAATTGTACATGGACATGCAAATTTTCCCCCCCAAAACTTGCATTTGTAAATGAACCCCCATGTCAATATTTACTTTGTGTCGCTGAATTTTTCATTGTATAAAAAATGGACAGTTCAACCAAAATGTATCCTAGATTTTTAAATAAGAAAGAATAATGATTTTCATATAAAAGTTTACGCGTTTTCCCCAGTATTTCTATATAGAAAAGATGAAAGGTCATAAAAAAGGAAGTAAACGTGACCACTTATAATAACGTTAGTAGGGGGGATACGTCTGATTAATGTTTAAAGAGTTTGAGTTAAAAGTAAGGGTTCCCAAGAAAATGTCTGTAAACTTCTATTTGGATATCCATACCCCCAAACAGAAATTTCCTTTTGCATTACCAACGAAAAATTTAAAATTTGGGAAAAAACTTAATGAAAAATTGTCTGATGTTGTAGAACTCACACATTCTCTAATTGCATTTCATTGTGTTCTACAACTGTCATGGAATGTGAGGTTTAATCACCAACTGCTGTAATGTTCGAACGTGTTAACACCGTTTCTTTTGAAGTAAAATTCCTTGTAATCCTGATGTAAAAAGTATTAGTCACGCACTCTGGGTTTTTATCAAGAATTTTAATCGAGCATTCGCGTCGTCTACTTAAAGTCGTGATTGTCGAGTGTCAGTCTGTTCAGACGGGAAATTTAAATTACTCTTCAATTATAAAGCTTTGTATACAATCAAAAAAAATTTCGCCAGTACAATGATTGAAATGATTGAAATATTTTTCATAAAAAAATATACATAACAGGTCAAGTCTATGTTCTGACTTGTATCTTTGTGCACAAGGAACCATTTTCCGCTGATTTTTCGTGCATCTTGTGGGGGTGTACAGATTGCATAGCAAAAAATGTTGTGTATCGATGACACACAATTGCAAAGTATAGACGAACTATCATCCAAGTCTCTCCCAAATAACACAGAACTTTTATACCATGGGGGTGAAAGAAGCTGACAAAAACAATACAATCGACCGATCGATCTAGCGGACTTGGCCAAAGTTAATACAAATCCCCTTTTTTGTCAAAGCCCGACATTTCTCATTCCACAAACATAAATAAAAAATATACACCCTCGAACGTGTATAGGGCCAAGTCAGGGTCAAATTATACAAACAGAAGATGAGGAGAACATGGATCAATATAACGAAGACTAGCATAAGAAGATAGGGGAACTATAACAGAATTGTGAATCGAACACACCCAGAATCAAGGACAGGGACATGTTTGCTTAGAAAGACTGGCCATCTTCATATTTAGTGACTGGAATGCAAAAATATTCGATTCATGGACGCTGGCTATCCTTTACAATAGTCATCAGCTAAATTCAAGGATTCAAAATCAAAAGTCCACAAAACTATACAAAATAGGAGCAGAGCAAACAGGGACCTCCAATACATCAGAGGTAGGATCAGGTACCATGTAGGAGTACGCATCCCCTCGCAAACAATCACACCTGCTGTGTCCTCCTTGTCATGAACTTTTTTTTTCACACTACCCAGGACATCCTCTGAGGAAATGTTTTAAAAATTCTCCTCCTTTTGCCGCTTAATCACAGATATATATAATATCTTGTACTTGAAAGGAATAAATTCATTAAGAAGTGTCTACCTTGGTAATCCTATATATAGATCTGAGGTCTTATTTAATCACATTCCCTCGCATGTCTTGAACAATACAGTGTATCTAAATCGGATAATTGGGAACATATAATTAAGCTGTATAAAGTACCTTGTGTAACATAGATTTGTGTGAACATTATAATTATCTCCTATAATGCTGTCAGTCAATCCATGTTTTTCCATTATCATCTGAAAAAGAAATGAGAATTGCTTTATTGATTGGTGCAAAATATAGAAATAGTGATTTACTGTTTATAAGTAAGCATTCTGTGAAACCAGAGGATCATCAAGTTTCAGCGTATTCATTGATTTTGTGGGCCACCCTTATCCCAATTATTTGTCCACAATTGACATTATTATCCCCCCAAATATTTTTGTCAATATGTCTGAGTGCTTTGAATCTTTTTAATAATATTGTGTTAAAGTGTACATTTATAATTGATGTATTCAAAATTTAATTATCCCAATCACTGGGCGTAGAGTTATCTTTCTTAATAGAGTGAGAGGGAAGTTAGAGTTATCTTTCTTTATGGAGCTTTAGATATATCTAAATCATACTGCACAAGCTATATGAGAGTGTCATATAACAAAAATGTGTGTATTACAGCAAGATCTATGTGGACAATACTTAATTTACTTAATTAATGACTCTTCATTATAAATTTCAGGATGGGGTGGATGACAGTATTTTCTTTCTGGGGGCGTCCAGTAGCGGAGTGTCCTTCCACAAACACGCTGACGCATGGAATAGGGTCATATACGGACAGAAGCGGTGGTTCCTCTTCCCCTCCACCCACACCCCACCGGGAGGTAAGCCAAGGGAGGCAATTCTATTAATTCCTTAAGTGTGATTTACAGGGGGACAACTCCGTAACTGATTTATATTTTTTGTTACAAGCACATTCTAAGTCATATTCATGTCATCATTTCAAAAGACTTCTTTTAGGATATAAATGTACAACATTACTAGAAACTACTATTGATAATTGCTGATACTTTTAGATGCAAATTTACTGTATTGTTAGAAAAAATATTTTTGAAAAAATGGTTTATAATATTTCATTTGTTGTACTACAAGCATAATGTGTCTAATGAAAAAAAAAATTAAAATGTAAGGTTTATATAGTTTATTTTTTTTGACTTTCAGATGAATAATTATATTTAATGTACCTGCTGTATTTACTTTTTTCCAGTAGACTATAATAAGCTGATGTCTTAATTAATTAACAGGCTTTATTGATCATTATCCTGTAAATTAGTATAAATTTTACAATTTTTTGTCTCTGATTTCAGGAGTGTACCCAGGCTTTACCCAGATGGAGTGGTATGACAGGATTTACCCCTCCTTGTCGGGGGAGGATCTACCCATGGAGTGTGTCCAAGAGGCGGGGGAAATACTGTACCTGGTAAATTATCATACAGCCAATCCTTGTTATATCAAACTCAGTGGGACTGAGTTGAGTTTAGATTTTGAGATAATTAGGAACGTTAAAGAAACTGGGGCTAAAATGCAGAGTGGGAGATCTCCAAATCACGAAATTGACAATACTAGTAGCCATGGTGTTTAAGATACTTGAGTTCAACTGTATACAGTACAATCTGCTTTTGTGGAATTTTAAGTGGTACAATTTGTTAAAGCTTGCTGTAGTTAAGATTCTCTCTTTGTTGAATAATTGATGTTCCTTATGAACAAATTTTAAATTCAATATCAATTGAATTTTCAATTCAATTTGTAGTAAATTTTTCAGTGTATTTTGTGTGTTTTAGCCAGAGGGGACCTACCATGGTACAATTAACCTTGGAGACACAGTAGCTATTGGAATTCAGAAGAAAGAGGCTTCCATAGAGACAGAAAAACTATTTTACAAAGGTCAGTAGATAAGTGCACATAACTAAGATATCATTTTTAGAGTTTCATTGGGGTATGAGATGTAGTCAGTACATGATCAAATTCTATAACACCCAAAGGGCGTTATTATACATATATTACATGGCTTCAAGGGCAGCATACCAGAATATTTGCTCCAAGGTGACAGGAAAGCCTTGGAGTGTTATGTCGCCCGATGCCTGCAGCATTCGGGCGACATAACATTCCGGGGCTTTCCTGTCACCGAAGGGCAAATATTCTGGTATTGCTGCCCAAGAATTAAGCCATGTAATATATGGTATGTAACATTTTTAAGCCTTGAACTCAAATTGATCATCAAACATATTTATTGAACACTATGTACACATGTATATATGAACATTGAGTATAATTCCGAAATATCCTATCCTGTTTAATGGCAGAATGTTTTCAGTATGCTGACAC